GGAAATGTCTTCCTCCAATGGGTAAAGTCTTGACACTCTACTTAGCATAGGAACCCTCCTCTCTGGCTTCTCCCATTTCGCAGTGATCAAATCCTTGATAGACCTAAGAAGGGTAAAGGAAAGCTTCTATTTGTTAAGATCTGTGGAGTGCTTATCTGAGCTGTTTACTTTAGGAAGATGTTCTGGTATCTCCAAAGTCTTCCTAACCATAAGGATGAGCTTGTCCCAGGTTTTGGAATCAAGCGATTCAGATAGCATCTCCACTTCACTCTCATTGGAGCCGATTTGATTCAAGATCTGAAATTCTTCAGCTTGTTCCAGGTTTAAGTCTTAGTCTGAAGACCCAGGGGATACCTGTCGTAGTCTTTTCTCAGACCACCTTCTGCCTTCCATGGCCTCTGAGATGCCTTGGGCAACTTCTTTCTGAACCAAGCCAGGACATCTGGCGATTGGACAGGTGTGGATGAGGGAGCGGCAGCCAACTTCTGGAGACAGAGTAGGCACAGCTGTTTACCTTCAACTGCTTTTCCCTTACATCCTAAACAAGGACTTAGCTTTCTCCCTTCTCTTCCTTGGTGGAGATAATACAGTCTGTTCCTCATTACTAAAACTAAGTGAGGACAGATTTAGAAAAGCACTTAAATTTTTTTTACATATGAGGGAGGCGGGGCCTGCACCGCATGGATGCTGGATGTGTTTTGGGAGAGCTCCTGCATTAATCTATTCTCTAGTTTAAAAAATCTCTCATCATGCTTGACCGTCACTAAACCTATCCTAAGGGTCAGAGGAGCCAATCTGGGTGCCTTGGAGAGGTTTCATGAGGGAGCTCCGACACAACCTCGAAGGACTCCAGCAAGGCCTAGTGTCTCAATAACTGGGAAGCCCTCTGCTACCTACTGACTGCCCTGGGGTGAGAGACGCGGCCGATCCCTCACCATGAAGGCTGACTACTTCCAGGCAACCGTTCCCCTCCTTTTGGACCCGTATGGGTTATCCTGGTCCCTGCTGGGCCAGCGTCTACAGCTCAAAGCAGCTTGCTCTCCCTCATCTGAGAAGCGGGGCCGACTCAAGTAAACCACAAGATGGCCGACGCACATGTCCCAGCCTCACAGAGCTCACTACCAGAACTGACCTGCACACGGAGCTTACCTCTCTGAGAGGCTGGAGGCACTTTTTGATCAATTCTGGGCAATATTGGAGAAACGCAAGAGGCTCACAACCTCTACAGCTCAGCCTACCGCAAATAAATGGCGACATGGAGTGCTACCGGAGAGGCCCCGACCGGGCAAAGCAACGTCCAAAAGCACATCCCATTCTACCACTAGCCCACCTGGGAAAAAAGCCACCTGGGGCGTGACCCATACACACCATCCAAGTCTGCGGAGGACCGCTCAAGACCTGCAACACTGCGCAGCCCCCCACCGGGGAAGGACTTAGCCTCAGGAAGGCTCAGAGTCTATGGATTAGTGGCACTGGCTCCTGCAGAGTCCTGGGGCTATAGCCCCAATAGCAACTGTTTATTGTATATCATATTTTATTTCATATATCATTTCAAATGATACCTCTAACTGTTTATTCTTTGAATGTTTGATCACTGTGTGGGGCTCCAGCGGTACAAGCTCAATCCTACTCCGCATTATGAGCATACTTTATTTCCTTACCCTGCCTTCTCGCATAGCCTCCATATGACCACCTAGACGCATTTACATATATGCTTCATAATCAGCCTGATTCCATTTAGAGAATCTAAGCATACTACTGGTTGGAATGCTATGCCTCTATGTTAACCATTATGCCCCTATATGGCTGCCATGTCTAGACCTTACGATAGATTTGACAGCACTCTCTGCCCGCACCAGCCTCCCCACTACAACACCCAGCTGTTGAAGTTGTTTAACATATAAGCTGTTTTGGGAACAATCAATGTTGGTTTATCTAACTATGACATAACTACATACCCAGACGACCACGTATGTAATTCATGTGCTCTTCTTCTTTGTCACTCCACACAATAAGCATTCTCTAAACACATTTACTTAACCTTCAGGGTTAGAGATTTAGCCAATTATAAGACTACTAACTGCTGAGACATGTAGGCTTTTGGTGTAACCATGTTTCTTCCTCATTAATATAAAATGTGCACTGTTCCTCATGTCATATAATTGTTATAATCTATTCGATGTTAAGCATGTACCAGCCGTTGTGGCAGCGCAATCTTGTTTATCTAACCTATGCACGAATAAAAAAAAAAAGAATTAAAAAACAAAACAAAACCTGTACATATGAAAAAATGTGAACCCATACTCACCTAGAAGCTGAAAGGGCTAAATAGGTTCTGGAAGGGGAATTCCTAATGGGCTACAAAAAAAACAAATAAGCAATAAACATGAATTTCCCCTAGATATATCAACAAAAGGCAAATTAACCACAGAAAGAGAAGGGATAAACCCTCCTGTGGCAATAGAAATAAAGACACAGGCACTTCAGAGATCCAAATCAAGTCAAACCATCCAATACTTAATAAAGATGGCCGCCGCGACTCAGGATTCCCAAAGGTCACGATTTTGGCGCCAAATGTATAAATGCGCAGACTGTGCATGCACAGTGATCCGATCAGTCTAAGCACCCAAGATGAGGGGAAAACCAGAGATGAGGCTTAAAGCGCACAGGAACAGATCCCCAGGTTACCCCAGAGGCACAAGCAGAGTTTGGAAGCACAGGAATTCAGCTCAGAAGTAAGTAGAAATAATGAAGTACTTAGCAATAGGAAGCAACAAAGCTCCCCTCCTAAGGGCTGTAGGACAGGAAAACGACTGAGGGATCTATACAGGGAAACGCCTTCTAGAGGTTTTTTGTTTTATTCCTGTCCTATTGGATGTAAGGGGAGGAGCTAACCCATATGTATATGCTGCCATGATTAGCCATGAAATATATATAAAAATAAAATGTTTTGTTTTGTTTAATTTATACACATATATACATATAATACATGTGTATATAATACGTGTGTGCATTTTATAATCTATTATACATATATATGATAAGTGTATTTTGAGATGTATATATCTCAAAGTACACTTCTAATAACATTATATATGTAGAATATATTCAGCTCAGGCAGTCCCCCTGCTGGCAGCTCCATAGAGCCTATTGTGGCCATGTAATCATGGTGATCACATGGCCATGGAGTGCCGCGGTGGCCGGAGCTGCTACAAGGGGACTTCTGGGGTCTTGGGCAGTCTAACCCCCTACCCCCCCACCGGGATCTTCACGGATCGCCGGTCCAGGTAAGTAAATGGGTCAGATTTGCCGTGGACGTACCGGGATACGTCCGAGGTCGTTAATGACCATTTTGTGCAGACGTACCTGGTACATCCAAGTTCGGGAACGGGTTAAAGGGCTGTATACAGAGCTCAATTTAAGAGCAGCATGCTGCTCATCTGTTAGTCTGAAGCCACCATAGAAGAAGTTCTGCTTACACCAAAATGTTAGTACATTCCATGCCATCTTAACCGGGTTAAATCCCCTCTGTGGAGGATGAAGAGGAATGTTCTGACGTTGTGAAGAGGTAAATAAACCAAAGCACAATGCAAGAAAATACTGAACATTGCAACAACTTGAACAGTTCAAGTAGCTTTGATCATCGCTTAGATCTCTGCACCCACCTTCAATAGTGGTCCAGATCCAAAATGCTGGCTGGTTTCCTTTACAATCATACCAAAACAGATAGCAAGGGAATAGTAAGGATAGCCAATACCTCAATAGCTTGCCCCACTCCAAAATCAAGCTAGATTTCTATTATCTTGTGTATTACAGAGAGAACCAAATTAATTTTTTTAAATATTTTTAGTTTCTTGCCATATCCTCTTGGATAAAAAAGTTTGAAACAAAAGGGTCTACACCTAACACAATAACCACTACAATAAACTGTAATTGAAGTGCTTGGATCATCCCTTTAATGTATGAAATGCAAGAGGCAGAGGAATATATAATGGAGGGGGGACCGAAATTTACAAATAAGGAACGGGTGAATACAAATACACATACATGAAAGGATGACGAATAGTCAAACATGGGAGAAAAGAAGAAATCTTTGTAAGGGAGGGATGCCAAATATATATGACTAGAGAGGTGTCCCACATAGAGGGAAGCAGGTTATATGAATAGAGAGGCTTAAAAAGAACCTGAAGTAGACAAGGGGGATGTAAATTAAAATAAAAGGATGGGGCGACGCAATATAGTATAGGGACATTCCTGGCTAGACCTGCCCAGTTTATAATGTATTTTACTGATATGCATTAAGCAATTTGAAATTCCAGCATTTGCTGCAAATTTCCAGTTTTTGCAGCTTCTGCAATTATCTCTCACCATACTACAATGTTTATAGTATGCTCACTTTTTCCTGCCTTTAAGAAATGTATATTTGTGAGATGAGAAAAATAAATACTAAAGGGTTACTCCAACCAGAAAAAAAACTTGATATATAGATATATATAGTTAATACTCAAATGGATTTCACGATTTAAAGAATTTTTAATGTATTATTTTTTTATTTTTTTTTAATGCCAAGATGCATTTTTCATTATTTTTAGATGTCTATAGATCCATCACAGATATTTTAAATATTTATCAGTGTGCACCAGTCTGCATATACCCGTTAATTAATGCTGGATTTAAAGACTTAAATATTAGTGTAAAGTTTGAACTCCTTAATTAACGCCAGAGCGGTAATTTAGTATTATTTACTTTTCAGTTAATATTTGTATGTGTATATATATATATATATATATATATATATATATATATATATGTGTGTGTGTGTGTGTGTGTATATGCGTCAGGTGTGGGGATGGGGAGCTGTCCAACAAATAAGAATGTCACAATTTGTGTCTGAGGCCAGCACGCACTGCATGCTGGGACTAGACAGCCAATGCAGCATGGTTCCCCTCTGTGCCCCTTACCTCCCTCCCCCTCCAGTGAAAAGAAGTACGTCAGCTGAGGAGAATTTGGCATTGGCTCTGGAAACTATGTAAGTTTTAGCATATTTTTTTTTTAAACTTGGGAAAGAGCAACCACCTCAGAAAGTGTTACTTTAACAAAAAAAAAAAAAATGCTAAAACTTACATAGTTTCCAGAGCCAGTGCCAAATTGCTGACGTACTCCTTTTCACCGGAGGGGTAGGGAGGTAAGGGGCACAAAGGGGAACCATGCTGCCATTGGCTGTCTAGTCCCAGCATGCAGCGCGTACTGGCCTCAGACACAAATTTTGTACAGAATTGACATTAGCCAGCTGGAACTCTTGTTTCAGACTAGATAATGATGCTGCTTGAAGTGGAGTTCTATCCTGCTACAGCTAAGGGGTTAATGTTGTTCGTATGTGCAGCATACAGAGTATTTTCACATACAATTTCTCTTGAAAGTTATTTTCTACCTTGTGAACCACTGGAGTCCCAGGTCATTAGTGAAGACTTTCCAACCCTTTTTCGACTGATGTGTTTTAATAACTTTTCTGATTGCAATTTGTGCTGCTTTTCAAGACTTTGTAGCCTACTTCAAAATCCAATGATCAATAACATTTGTTTAATGGGTTGATTGAGTAACTAAAGGAGGGGAAGGATGGGAAGGAGGGGCTGCTTTTTCACACTGGATCTAATGGTGTTGGATAACTTAAAAAAAAAAAGAAAATGATAATTGCAAAACACAATTTTGTATTACTTGGGTTCCCTTTGACTTTTATTGCATTTTGTATGAAGAACTGAGTATGTGTGACAAAAATATAGAAAAAAATAGAGTAAATCAGGATGAGGGCAAATACTTGTTCACAACGCATTGCGATATATTCAAAGAGAATGTTAAAGGTAAAAAAACACACATTTATCATTTAATAATAAATATGTTTAATTTTAAATGAGCTGCTGCTGCAATGTCACGTTAAGAAATGAAAGTCAATATGTGTGGATATTTGGAAAGCTTGTAAAGTGACAAGCTGTGAAATCTTTAAATTTTGGATCAGTACCGCAAGCCCTTCTCTGTTATCATTTTGGGGATTTTTTTCTCAGTACGTTATGTAGCACAATGAGATTTGAGATGGCAGTGTAAGAATGCCTAAAGCATTGTTGCTGACTCTGTCAAAACTTGTTGGGTTGGCAAGAATACGCCAAGTGCTTTGGGGAGCAAGAGGCAGGAGACTGACCCAAAAAAACAAAGGGATATCCTGCCAAAATGAAGAAAAGTAACTGCATATTCATAAGGGAGAGAATATATCAGCCATCAAATCACTAAGCAATGTACATTTTTGTTTTTGATCTTGTAAGTGCATGAGTTCTTATTTATATATTGTAAGAATTTTACTCTTAAGTAGATCTCATAGTTGTTTCTTTAATAATTAGTGTATTTCTAGTTACTAAAGGATGTCAGAAAATCTTAGCGGAAAACAGACTTGCAGAGATCATTGCTTAAAAATTTAGAGCTGGTTAAAATGTCAACGGAACACTATGACCACTTATGTCAGATGTTAAGAGGTACACATTTCGCATCATGGAATGCGTGTAAAGTTGTTGTTTTTCAGTGGTATAACAATTTATTAAAAGACTGATAGTCATCACCATGATGCACGATGCATATTTTATAATATGCCTATGTCCATGCAGCACTCTCCTTTTTACTTTTTAGTTAATACTCAAATGGATTTCATGATTTAAAGAATTTTTAATGTATTTTTTTTTTTTTAATACCAACATGCATTTTTCATTATTTTTAGATGTCTATAGATCCATCACAGATATTTTAAATATTCATCAGTGTGCACCAGTCTGCATATACCCGTTAATTAATGCTGGATTTAAAGACTTAAATATTAGTGTAAAATTTTAACTCCTTAATTAACACCAGAGCGGTTATTTAGTATTATTTACTTTTAAGTTAATATTTGTATGTATATATATATATATATATGTGTATATGCGTCAGGTGTGGGGATGGGGAGCTGTCCAACAAATAAGAATGTCACATTTTGGAATTTAACCTAAAATGTATTTTAAATTCCTGGAGGCTTGTTTTGTTGTTTACATTGTGATGCTGTAATATGCAGCCAGGGCATAGAATGCAACCGAATTAGACTCCATATTGCTGAGAGTGTACTTACTTTGTAAGTAATGCTCTGATTGTATGCACTCATTTGTCTTTTTTTTTTTTTTTTTTTTTATTATGATGCGCAAGCATATTTGTGCAAACCTGGTGCATCATGGGTTTACAAATTTGCCCTGGAAACTGACTAAATGTGTATACTTTTCTTTGATGCCCTCTTCACCCCAGTAAATATTAAAGGGACATTATGTTCACCAGAACAACTATGGCTTATTGTAGTTGTTCTGGTGAGTATAATCTGTCCCTGCAGGCTTTTTAATCTAAAAACTGCCTTTTACATTACAGCCTAGGGATACCTTCAGTGGCTACTCCTCAGACAGCCACTATAGGTGCTTCCTGGGACAGTGCTATACAGTGTGCAGCACTGTCGTTCAACGTTTCCACTGTCTGTATGGAGACGCTGAACGTTCCCCATTGAGGTTGCTACTTTCTGAGAAGTGAAAGCTACATTTTAAGTAGCGGTAAATATTTTGAGATTGTGCTCTCTCTTTCACACTCTCTCTCTCTCTCTATCTATCTATATATCTATCTATATATCTATCTCTCTCTATCTATATATCTAATGTGTTTTCTGCAGATTGGGTTACTATGAAAAGAGCACAAACGTATTCCTGACCCTATAGGGTTAAAACCACCATCTAGCCCCCCTGGCCCCTTCATGCCTCCCTAAATATAGTAAAATCTTATAAGTCTGCAGCTGCTTACATGTCCCTGTTCCCTTTAGACCTGCCCACTGCCTGCCGACATCAGGAGAAGTGGTAGCCTGATTCAATCACAGTGCTTCCCCATAGGATTGGCTGAAACTGACAAAGAGGCAGATCAGGGGCAGAGCCAGCACAATTCAAACACAGCCCTGGCCAATCAGCATCTCCTCATAGAGATTAATTGAATCAATGCATCTCTATGAGGAAAGTTCAGTGCCTGCATGCAGAGCATGGAGACACTGAATGTTTGGATGCATTTTAGGCAGCCGTGACCCAGGAAGGATCTCTAACAGCTATCTGAGGAGTGGCCAGTGAAGTTATCACTAGGCTGTAATGTAAACACTGCATTTTCTCTGAAAAGACAGTGTTTACAGCAAAAAGCCTGAATGAATCTACGCACCATAACAAATGAAATAAGCTGTAGTTGTTCTGGTGACTATACAGGGAGTGCAGAATTATTAGGCAAATGAGTATTTTGACCACATCATCCTCTTTATGCATGTTGTCTTACTCCAAGCTGTATAGGCTCGAAAGCCTACTACCAATTAAGCATATTAGGTGATGTGCATCTCTGTAATGAGAAGGGGTGTGGTCTAATGACATCAACACCCTATATCAGGTGTGCATAATTATTAGGCAACTTCCTTTCCTTTGGCAAAATGGGTCAAAAGAAGGACTTGACAGGCTCAGAAAAGTCAAAAATAGTGAGATATCTTGCAGAGGGATGCAGCACTCTTAAAATTGCAAAGCTTCTGAAGCGTGATCATCGAACAATCAAGCGTTTCATTCAAAATAGTCAACAGGGTCGCAAGAAGCGTGTGGAAAAACCAAGGCGCAAAATAACTGCCCATGAACTGAGAAAAGTCAAGCGTGCAGCTGCCACGATGCCACTTGCCACCAGTTTGGCCATATTTCAGAGCTGCAACATCACTGGAGTGCCCAAAAGCACAAGGTGTGCAATACTCAGAGACATGGCCAAGGTAAGAAAGGCTGAAAGACGACCACCACTGAACAAGACACACAAGCTGAAACGTCAAGACTGGGCCAAGAAATATCTCAAGACTGATTTTTCGAAGGTTTTATGGACTGATGAAATGAGAGTGAGTCTTGATGGGCCAGATGGATGGGCCCGTGGCTGGATTGGTAAAGGGCAGAGAGCTCCAGTCCGACTCAGACGCCAGCAAGGTGGAGGTGGAGTACTGGTTTGGGCTGGTATCATCAAAGATGAGCTTGTGGGGCCTTTTCGGGTTGAGGATGGAGTCAAGCTCAACTCCCAGTCCTACTGCCAGTTCCTGGAAGACACCTTCTTCAAGCAGTGGTACAGGAAGAAGTCTGCATCCGTCAAGAAAAACATGATTTTCATGCAGGACAATGCTCCATCACACGCGTCCAAGTACTCCACAGCGTGGCTGGCAAGAAAGGGTATAAAAGAAGAAAATCTAATGACATGGCCTCCTTGTTCACCTGATCTGAACCCCATTGAGAACCTGTGGTCCATCATCAAATGTGAGATTTACAAGGAGGGAAAACAGTACACCTCTCTGAACAGTGTCTGGGAGGCTGTGGTTGCTGCTGCACGCAATGTTGATGGTGAACAGATCAAAACACTGACAGAATCCATGGATGGCAGGCTTTTGAGTGTCCTTGCAAAGAAAGGTGGCTATATTGGTCACTGATTTGTTTTTGTTTTGTTTTTGAATGTCAGAAATGTATATTTGTGAATGTTGAGATGTTATATTGGTTTCACTGGTAATAATAAATAATTGAAATGGGTATATATTTGTTTTTTGTTAAGTTGCCTAATAATTATGCACAGTAATAGTCACCTGCACACACAGATATCCCCCTAACATAGCTAAAACTAAAAACAAACTAAAAACTACTTCCAAAAATATTCAGCTTTGATATTAATGAGTTTTTTGGGTTCATTGAGAACATGGTTGTTGTTCAATAATAAAATTAATCCTCAAAAATACAACTTGCCTAATAATTCTGCACTCCCTGTAGTGTCCCTTTAATTATACCAGCATGTGCATTTCTGTATCTACACTGAACAAAATTATAAACACAACACTTTTGTTTTTGCCCCCATTTTTCATGAGTTGAATTCAAAGATCTAAGACTTTTTCTATGTACACAGCCTATTTCTCTCAAATATTGTTCACAAATCTGTCTAAATCTATGTTAGTGAGCACTTCTCCTTTGCCGAGATAATCCATCTCACAGGTGTGGCATATCAAGATGCTGATTATACAGCATGGTTATTCCAGAGGTGTGCCTTAGGCCAGCCACAATAAAAGGCC